CACATGACAAAACAAAAATCTTGCTCAGTTATCTGCATGGTTCTGCACTGAACGTTATAGACAGATACTCCGAGTTCTATTGACAATGAGCACCTTGAATAGTGACAGCAAACTTTGCTTTGGGGCCACAAGAGGAACAAATTACAAAAGTGGCATAGAATGCGTTACACTGAGAAAAACATTTTTAAATGGCACATAAAATAATATAATTTTTTTTAATACTGAATTATTGTGTTAACAAATGTTTGCTCAGGATACTGATTTACAAATTATCATTAGGCAATCAACCATAGGATCGATGGTAGGTTGGTATTTCAAGAAGGAATTTGAAGGCAGACAAGATACCAATTATGTGAGCTGATATTTATGTAAAGGCAACTTCAGGAAAAGGCAATTTTTATTTTAAAGGAAAGAAGTAGAAAAACAAAATAAATTTTACTGATGGAAAACAGATAAGACGTGTCTGAATGTGATAATAAAAGTAACTATGTGAGTGAGGGGAAGCTAGACGAGGCAGTGCCTACTATGGATGAAAAAATTATGTTTTGTTAGTGAAGAAAAGGAAGCCCTAGACAGAAACGAAGGCAGAGGATGACACAATCAAGCCACGAGTTAGGTGAGTTTTTGAGTATTGTTTTGAACAGACTTTACAAAAGTTTGCAATAAAAAAAGGTTTGAGAAGTAAAAGGCTGAATAGTAGAAGCACAAGATGACAAATAACGGGGCAGCAAAGAGGTTTGGGTGTGTTATAAAGGAAAAGCTACAGAAATGAAACACTTGCAGCAAATACCTGGTTGTTTCTGGGTAAGTGTCTCAGAAGATGACAATGCAGACACCAAAAACCCAATAGCTGCTATTTTATGCTACCAGGTGAAGAACTACTTGGCGTTGTCAGAAAGAGATTGAGGCAAAGAGAGAAAAGTTAACAATAGAAAACTGCATACTTAAGAGTGATTGCTGTAAAGACTTAAAGACGAAATGGCATCAGCTCCTTCTTGGTAGGGCACAAAGGAAAGGAAGACTAGCATTTTGTGGGCTGTCAAGTAGCTACATGGAGGTGAAACCACAGACTGAAATACTGACAAGCTGGGGGGAAATCACAAAAGTACATGGGCATGCAGTAGAAGACAGCATTTCAAGGTTTAAGAAGTGGTTTGACATGCTAATTAGGACAAAGCACATTAGAAGCTAAGATATTTGTCACAGCTAAAAATATTCATATGGGATGTAAATACAATTAATGCAGTACTTGAAATGAACATGTATTCATTTCTCAAATACCATATATTCTGATAAAAATAAACCAGTGTGATCTAGGCTTCTAAATTTTGCTAAAAATTTATTATATCTCTATAATGTGATATTTGGGATTTCATAAGCCTGTTCATTCCAAGTGCCATGTCTACTGAAGGGAGTATCGCACCACCACTAATATACATTCTCTCTTAATAATGACAATTTATAGATGGCGAACACTGATAATTGCTACAAAATCACAACAGGTTTAAATACAATTATTGATGATACTTTCTAGTACTAGAAATAGATTTTTTTCCCACTAAATTGATAAAATACATTCCTCATGTTTTAACATTCTAATGTATTTGCCATTGCTATGATAGGTTTAGAGCTTGAATCACCAATGCAATCAGTCTTGATTTTCCTGCCATGGTAGCACAGGATAGTCCAATTTCTGATTTGCCACACACCAGTCAATTCCTAAACTTTACTATATGATTCACTTTACTCAGAAGTTCCTGGTGAGCAGCATTATGAGTATAGTAACTGTACTTACCTCACCCCTAGCAATAGCACACCTTTTGTGCTGAGCAGACTTCTTTCTCCACCTACAGGACTATTTTTTTTGAACACAGAGGTTGAAGCAACCGTGAAGTTCAAGACCATCTGTGTCTCTTTGTTTGCTATTAGACTAAATACTTTGGTCAAAAGAATCTGGTCCATTATCTTCTTCTACACTTCCATGAGTACTGCTCTTGAATCACCAGAGATCAGTACGCTTACCAGCTGTGCCATTTATGATACAAATGGCATGATGTTTTGACTGGCATCTCAATACCACTTTTTAATGATAATTTGGATATGCTCCAGGCACCTCAGCTATTTCTGAGAGCAAATCCAAAAAAGACCTCGATGTTAGTGCTCTTTACTGTCCTGGTCACAGAAAGGCCAATAAGAATAGAAGCATCACAAAGTGAAGATAACTCAAAATATTCAAGGATTTCAGAGGTTAATCCTAACCTCTACCTCATCACTGTAACATGGGAGAAGTTTCTTGTGAGGATTTTGTATGGACAGTTGTGTAGGCTAAATGAGATTCTTTTACGAACATACATGTCAAGCTATATCAGATAATGGGAGAGAACATTTACTTGTACTTTGCAGTGTATCTTTGGTTAATTTGGAAAACTGCTCATTAAATAATGTGTGAAGTGGAAACAATGTGAAAACTACAGTTTGATGATTCTCTGTGAAAGAGAGATAATTGCTATAAATTCTGGTATGGTTGCATGTTCATAGAATCATAGAACAGCCCAGGTTGGAAGGGATCTTGAAAGATCACCTGGTCCAATCTTTTGTGGGAAAGACAGCTTAGCTGAGATTATCTAACACCCTGTCCAACTGCACCTTGAAAACCTCCAGAAATGGGGTCTCTACCACATCCCTGGGAGAGGTTGTTCCAGTGAATGACTGTTCTTACTGTAAAAAATTTCTTTATGTTGCTATTTTTCAGCATATAAATAATGTATTGGTCTAGATTAAAGCTCTTCCATACTCACAATTTACAGTTTGGAATGAGTTAAACAGTTTGAAACCACAGGAAAAGTATATTTTCTTTAAAAGCCGTATTATTATCATGCTACAACATGTCAACAAGCTAAAGCATTTTATTTGTTAACTACGTGTTTTCCTTCTTGTAATATAAAAACTTTTGTTTATGGGTCAGACTAAAAGACCATCTGTACAAGCATCCTGACAAAGGTGGATGCTTAGTGAAATAACATTACAACAGGTAAAACAGCCCATAAACCCTTTCCCTTCTATGATCTTCCAGATTCTGGCAGTCTGGATCTTAGGGACCTCCCAACTCGAAGGTTAAGTTTGGGCAGTCCTGTTTATTGCTACCATTGGACCTGTTTCCCATTACTTCATCTGATCTCTTTTTTGACTCCATTTATCATCTTGGCTTCTATGACATATTCTGACAGTGATGAAAACATTTTTTCTAGGTGTAATATTAAATTAGATATGTAGTAAACCCCATTAAATTATGATTAAATACATTATTACTCAAGTCCTTTCAGTACGCTTACCTTGTGGATTAAAGAAACCGGTCATCCAAAATGCATTTGGTCTTCCTTCATATATCCAAGAAGAGAATTGATTATTTCTTTCCAAGAGTTCAGTAAACCAAAAGCCAAGTGTTGAAGAATCCCAAGACACTCTTTTCCATACTTGAGGAATTCGAGCATCATACATATTATCAAGTGCATCTCTCAAATTCTGAAAGAAAGAAATTATAATACATGAACTACAGCAATCAAGGTAACAGTTTAAAATAGAGCATTCCATACGTAGTAAATATGCTTTTACTTGCCTCACTCATGATAATAGTTCCTTCTATGGCTAATTTAAGATCATTCAAGCTGTTGCGGACTATTGTGATCACCTTTTGCATTCGGTCAATTTCTTGCCGAAGAAAAATATTCATAGAGTTAAGATGTCCCATTTTAATTAAACGAGCTTTTACCTAAAATATGGAGCACAGCAGAAGGAATTTAAATCCAAAATGTTGAAATACCATTGTCATATATGACATCTTAACTTTCTTGTGTTCAGAAAAGTAAATAGTAGACTTGCACTTCACAATATTCGACTAACATTTATCCCCTTAAAACTGTTGCGGTTTTTATTTTTTGACTGATATTACCCGATTATTCACGATTTTTCTAGAATAGGACTTCACCCAGAAGGCCCAGGAGACTGCTGTCACAAAAAGTCAAGACCAACTTTTTTTTCCCCCTCTGTTTTCACATGCAGCTTTGGAAGTCCAAGCATAGTCTCCATGACATATCTCCATGACCAATTGTTAGATGACTTGATTTTAAATAAAAAAGCCTCATATCAATTTACACTGATGGCAATAAAGAAGTTGGTTCCTTGCTTGAAGCTGCTACCGGTTATATGATCTTTCTTTACAGTTAAGGGTTTCTTTTTTGGAATGTCTTATGTGAAAAATCAACAGAGAGAACAGTAAGAAAACAACTAAGATTAGCTTGCCTCATGGGGTATGTAATCTGGAGGAAGTTTCTCCAGCATGTCTTCAGCTAAACGATAAACAATTGCTTCACGAGTTTCTCCAGGTCCTGCACCACTTTCCTTAGGCTGAATGTTGGTAATAGTATCTAGAATATCAGCTGCTGTATTACTTTGGTATCTGAGAGGATAAGAAATATATTATAAATTACATAGGATTTTTTAATAGTGAAAAGGATACTTTGTAGAACACACAACTTGGAAGTGGAGAAAAAAAATGTGCTGTGTCACCACGTTAAATCAAAACTCCCCAAGGAAATTTTTATCCTTGGCATCCTGCACCAAGCTGAACGCACTGATAATGATCAACGTGCGGTTTTCCATGGCCATAAAGCATATGAACTTCCCTCTACACACACCCTGTTATAAAGTTGCTGTTTTTCTAATTCAGGGCTAAGAAGGAGTTCTGCAGGCCGCTTCTCAACCTTTGAGAATGTAAGGTGGCAGAAAAACCTATCATATGAGTTCTTGGGTTTCTAAGGGAAGGGAAGAAAATGGCATATGCCTGAACTTCTAAACAGCTATTTGCTGGGAAGAAGCAACAAAAGTTTTGTAACAAGGAAGAATATTTCCCTCATTTAGTTACTTCCTAAAAGTGGAATGCAAAAGAAGGAAAAGCTGGAGGCGTAACTCTGCAAGTTGCTCCTTTACAAAATAGTAAATTCATTCTGCCTTGAGGTTTTGGGGAGACACCATGAGCAGGCAGTGGTTTTCCCAGGGTGAGGCTCATCCCCTGCACTCCGGGTGTGCTGACCCCTGCAGTTTCCCCAAATGCCAGAACTCAACTGCATAACTTGTGGTAGAGGGGGACTGCGTTCGCACTTACAAACCCTGGCAGGGGTTGCCCAGAGAGGGGGTGGGAGGCCCCATCCCTGGGAACATTCCAGGCCAGGTTGGCCGGGGCTGTGAGCAACCAGATGTGGTTAGCGGTGTCCGTGCTCCTGCAGGGGGGTTGGGCTGGGTGGGCTCTGGGGGTCCCTTCCCACCCAAAACATTCTATGATTCTATGATTTCAGGATCAATGATAAAAACTGCTAAATTTACAACTTTGGAGATTAAAACCTATTCCATAGTACAGCATAGGCAGTTCTAATGTAAATTTATGTTCCGAGTCAACACAAAAAGTGAATTGAATTCATGTGGCATTTGTTGGTAAAAGATAGTAGACCATGTCAGTCTTTCAGCACGAGCAGAATATAGGAGTACTTTCATTATAATACTATGTAGTGGCATAGAGATACATGAGGTGGCAAGAAAGAAAACATAACAGTGTATATGTCAGCACTGCAGTGCTGGCATTGCCTACTTTTACCTTATGGAATCAGCTATGTGAGGAACATACAGCCTGAGTCAGACTCAGAACAAGCTTATACTGACTCAAAGCATAATTTTGCAATGCCAGTTTTACTTTTCAACCTTCATCTGACACCCATCTCCTTCTATTACTTTGTCATACATAATTATTTAAGAAATGAAACCAAGAGCTGTGCCACAGGATAGAACATGTGAAGTCCTAAAGCATCTAAACTTTGGAGGTAGTATCATAAGAACACAGAAGCTAGACACTGCACCATTTCAACATAAACAGTTTGTGAGTGCAATTATAAAGACTATAAATCAGAAAAATAGAAGAAATCCTACTGGCAGTTGGCTTCTCAAGAGGATATAATTTCTGCTTCTGAATGTAGGAATGGTGGGGATTTTGTCTGGCAAAACTTTCAAGCTTTTTTCCATTTATGGACCCATTTAAAGAATGATGGATTTATTCAAGATCACACACGAACAAAAAAGTTGGATAAAATCAAATTACTCTTGGATGCATGGCTTCATTCCTAATGTGGATGGCATACCGATGATTGTAATCCCTAGTCTGGGTCTCACTGATCTAACAACTAATGTTAAGAGAGATGTGAACCTTCCTCGTCACGTTGCAAGTACTGTTCTTCTAATACTGCTGTCAGACTTTTCTATGTGGAAGGAATAGGTCCCATGATTATTGCATCAATTAAATTATAAAATATTACAGAATTATAAAAGTGAATGGCCTTTCCCCAATTCTAAACAAAAATAGAAACCATTTAAAAAGGAAGGCAATACGCAGACTTTGGGGAAAAGCAGAGAACAGTTTTTGAGAAATAATCTCGAAGGAGCAGAATCAAAGGTAAGTAATATTCCTTTCTTCAATGACACAAGCTAGAAGTCTTCTGGGGAGGAGAAATGGTCATCTGGATCTCGTATAAAGAAGCAAACATGAATAGCAATAGCAGTTTGAACAAGCCTATTATTGTAAATAAAAATAGAAAAGACAAAAAGATGCATCTCAATGTGTACATAATTAAAAATCGTGTTCCAGTGTGGAAGTGAGGAGAAAATAGAAACAAGAAATTTCATTTGCATAACAGTGGGAGACAGAGGATATAAAAGACACTCCAAAATAAATTTTTTCTGGACTTTGGAAAACCACACTTTCCTTTACATTGCAATAAAATGTTGAAGTACAGATGCAAACAATAATGAAAAGGTTGCACAAGTTTGTAGAGGAAGTACTGTGTTCCTGGGAAGGAAATCAGATATACGAGATGGGGTATCCCTGATCAGATTTAGACATCGAAGTAGATGTCTGCATAACAGCAGTTTTCTAGATTGCCCTTATAGGTAATGCACAGAAGTATGATTCAGCTCGTGTATTTTAGATGCCTGCTTTGTGATCTTTTACAAAGGATCTATTCTTCTCTATTACAGTAAAGGAAGTTTTGGGTAACCATAAAGGAAGCTAAAGCAACAGTAAAAGAATCTCATTTACAGTGCCAATTTTGCCTAAAAGTGAGTATGTAAAATCAAGCACTTTATACGTGTTTATATTTGTTTTCCCCGAAGCAGTATTGCAAAGCAAATTGTGTCATAAGAAGAAAAAAAGAAGGAATTTTCTATGGATTTTTATTTTCTCCAAAAAGTATTATCGAGTATATTTTCTCACAGAGCTTGGATTCAACAACTTATACTTTGATAGCTGGAGTCTCTGCCATCAGGAATTTTCTGTACTGGAAGTTAAACTAAAAACAAATGCAGTTTGACAGAGACATTACCTCAGCTTTGTGTAGAAAACAGCAATATCTGTTGCAGCGGGGCATTCAAAAGCTCACATTCACCAAGTGACGATGGGAGATTCTGCTCTGTCGTCAGTTGGTTTGTAAGAGCTTGCAGTAACTTTAGAAAAATTCAGTTAGGTTTAAGGCTTCAGTATGGATCCAACTGAAGAAGGGGTTTTAACAGGAGATTGTCAGAATATTCCTTGCCTGCTCAGGGACCTATGGTTGCCTATGGTTCACATAGCAAGTTAAAATCAGCCTCAGTGACTTCAAGTATTAATCTCAAGTGAACGAAGGTATTGGCATTCAGTGAAGTCTTACAGTTGGAACCAATGGATCGAGCTTTTGGCTGAACTGGAAAACTGTCCCACTAAACCAGTGGGAGATAAGGTCTTTCTTGTCCTCAGTAATAGTAACACGGAGAGGACCTGGCTGTCCCAGGGTTCCAGTTCTAGCAGCAAGCCTTCTGCATCCTCTGAGATGACTCAATAGGGTATTTTAAGGAGAATTTGAGCATTTGTTGAGAATTTGTTCTGTGTGTCAAAGATGAAATTCAGACAGTACATGCGTGTAGTTGCCCATAACTGTGGTAAGACATGGCAAAGAGCATAAAGCTGATGAACATTTTCCCCAAACTCTAAAGAAATAGGAAAGAAAAGGAAAATCTCCAGAAAAAGGACTGAAGTAGCAGGAATATGCTGATGTGTCAAGTGGAAAAAAACCTCGGTACCAGAGAGAAATGAAAGAGCTGCTCATTCTCACTAAAGCTCCGCCAACACCATTAGTCTCAAGTTTCCTTCTACAAATTAGCCCCCCTACAAGCCTAATTTTGGATCCAAAGCATGTCTCTCTCTTTAGGACTTTAGTTATCTGTTAAACCTTGGCTCTTCTTTAGTCAGTTCTGGAAGGAAGGCCTTGCAAGTATCAGAGAATGACTTGAAACAGAATCAATCTACTCTTAGATTCTTTCCTTCAGAAGCATATATTTACAAAGGTAGGTGCTGGGCAGAGTTGACCGTAAACTGTGCTGTTCTCACAGCTTGCTTAGAATAACCAGGCTTTAGCTAGGGCATCAACCTCTCAAATTTGAGACTGAAAAATTGTGGGAAATTATTGTTTTGTGCAAAAGTATTAGAAGATATCAGGTTTTCGCAGCAGTTGGGCATTTGAATAACATTTGTTTTGTTTAAAAATACAAAAAGCAGTGTTAAGAAACAATAAATGTGGACCTAGTGAAAATGCAATAATTCATGGCAGAATTATTAAGAACTTCAGTGAAAAAATATGGTGATGATTCATATCCTTTCACAGGGCATGTAACATTAGAAAGAAATAAAAGCCAAGCTGTTACACACATTATTTGGAATGAAAACGTTAATTAAGTCAAAGATAAAATTTCAAATGGAGTTGGTACTTGGTGAGGTTGAAAAGCCTCTTTTAAACAATGGGAGTGGCAGGACTGATGGCAACAGAAGAGGTAGTTACATCCAAAGGCACGTGGTAAACAAAATGACAATCCAGAGAATCATTTAATGAGTATGCACAGAGAAATACTATTTGGAACAGAAGGCAAAACTTTAGAAGCTTTCTCTAGTTGAAACATATAGAACCTTGTATCACGTGGTCATATAAAAGTTTTATAATGCCTTCAAATTCCAAAAAAATTCTAAACCCACGAAGAGTAAGTAACAAGAATTCCAACTCTTTTAAAAGAACATGTAAAATGTAGCCAAAGACACTGCATTCATAATCATGTACGTACACATCAACTGTCCCGCTTCAATAGTGAAATTCAAATGAATCTGAGATTTTCTATGAAAAATACACTTTTTTAAGCATTTTATCGGGGTTTCTTTCCAATTACTAAAAGAAAGGGTCTTTGTTTTCAATATGTTGAGACCTACTTACGTAATATCAGCATTAGGGTGGAGACCAAAGACCTTTGGGCTGTCCATGGCAGGGAGTAACTGGATATATTCAAAATACTGTTCCAGGGTTTTGCACACTGGAATTTTATATCCAGTATGAAAACAGAAAGTGCTGTCAAACATCTTTTCATTAAACCATACCTGTCAAAAATCCAGAGGAAAAAAACCACAGTTACTTTGAGACTCAGAGGGGTTTTTATCTCATTTTTATTCTTGGAGAATTAGGGTTCTTGTTTTAACTACTACATCTAATTTTACTTCAGCACACAAGTAAATCATTAAAAGCTATATCTTCTAAGTTTGAGTTCCAGCTAAGTCTTTTTAACAGTTTCTGCTCCTCACTAAAGATAAACCAAGGGGAAGAACCTCACTGCCAAAGAATAACATTTAGAAAAATTCATTTTACTCTGAAGAGTTTTATAAACTGGTGAAGAAGTGCATATTCAGCGGAAAGAAGGTCTTCTGATTTCTGTATTGCAGCTGCCAATAAAAATGACAAATAAGTGTATTTTCAAGGTCTCTCACCCTTGCAAAGCAATTAAGAAGACGCTTATCAAAGTCATCTGTGACTCGGCCTCCATATTGAACTTCTCCAATCATGTAGCGCACTGTGTTCCATGATATCCCCTGGATGCAAGCAAAGTAAATAAAAGACTGCAGTTATAACATGTAAGAAGAAGGTATCCAGCCTGTAATTTCAATATCATCTGAAGCTCATAAGGCTCTGAAATGTAAGCTGAAAGATCATTGTTGCAAGAAAAAAAACCCCAACAACTTTATTTCTAATGTATTTTCTGAGGTCAGCTCTAAATTTTAC